CTTTCTGCCTAGAGAGGTGAGGTAACGTACAGTGAAAATTTCTCCAAAAAAAAAAAAAATGGAGAAAGCTCTAGAATCTTTGAAAATTAGATCTATATATATGCATATGTGTATATGGGTGTGTGTATATAAGTAGAATAAAATTTTGGGGACCAGCAGATAGTGTAATGGTTATGTCTCTTGACTCTCACATGTCCGACCACAGTTTGAGTCCCAGACCCAGCAGCTTTAAACTCACACTGGCATCATGTGCATCTGTGCCAAAAATTCTGACAAGAGAATGGAAGAGAAGGGATGATGGCATAGCCATCATCCCTGGGGGGTGGTTCTTGCTTTCTGTTTCTCTCTTTGTCTCTCTGGTGAGTGCACATGCCCTATAGCAGAAATCTCTCTCTAAAAAAATAAATAAATAAAATTTTGGCTTGTGATTTGGGGACATCGTAATAGTATGCTGATTGCCAATTTCTGAGAGTTTTTGTTTTTTATTTATTTTTAAAAATTTGTTATAGAGTGTGAGCACATGCAGAAGACAGACAAAGAGGGAAAAGTGAGAAAGCACCCCTCAGAGAGGATGACCATGCCACAACCCCTTCTCCTCCATTCTCCTCACAAGAATTTGGGCATGCAAACACACCCACTTGGCATGTTTCTCAGGCTGGTAGGTCAGGAACTTGAAACATGCAGTCAGTCAGTGGCATATAGCCACCTTAACCACACCACCATACCACTTGGCTGATCCAATAGTTAGTTAGTTGTTGTTTTTTAAATCTGTTTATCTATCTATCTATCTATCTATCTATCTATCTATCTATTTACTTATGGAGAGGTTTTTGCTATAGGGCATGTGTGCTTACCAGAAAGACAGATACAGAAAGCAAGAAATCACCCCCCAAGGAGGATGGCCGCGCCACAATCTCTTCTCCATTCTCCTCTCAGGATTTTGGGCACACACACACACACGCCCAGTCTGAGTTTAAGCCACTGAGTCTGGGACTCGAACTGCAGTCGACTATGTGGGAGTCCAGCAACATAGTCATTCTGCCGACTGCTGGTCCCTCAATAGATTTTGAAATAATGATTTATTTACTTCTGAGCAATCTTTAGTTTAAGCTCCTCCTACCTAAACAATCTATCTTACATAGAAAATAAAACCTTTTTTGTTTTACAGCTGGCCATTACCATTACTTAGAAGAGAAAGCACTACACACAGTTTTAGTCACCTCTGAATCTTCCAATTACTCCGAAGTCTTTTCTGCATGGATTTATAGCCATTGTTGGTGGTAAATATCTCCTTTTTGTAGGCATTAAAAAGAATGGTACTCCGAAGCTCTTTCTCCATGGTTACCTTAAGGAAGAAAGGTAGGATCAGAAAAAGAAAAACAATAAACGACATCCAAAAGAAAGATTCTAAAAGGAATAAACAGTAGCCTTTACTTCTAATTTATCAAGAAAGGGTATATACAACTGCAATCTACCTATGAAATCCTTTAGTTCTCAATGGTTGAAAGTAAAGTACATCATCGTAGTTATAGAAACCTAATGCCAAACCGAACCCAGCCCACCACCCCTTGCTTTTGCTTCCAGTCTCTTGCCCTAGCCCTCCTACCTGCCTATTAGCGAGGCCCTACCTGACATCACTCTGCTTTTTAGCCCTGAGGCTACGTTTCAGATCTGATTCCTTACAGTTAACTATTGTTAATGTAGGGTGTAGTCCTCTAGATTTTATAGTTAATTTTATTTTATGAAATAAGCTCTACCGTACGCACATTTACCATATGTAAAACATTTCTTTTTCACTTAACCTGTATATCTGACATTGTTCCATGTCAGGACACAGATCGACCACATTTTTTTTTTAAAGAGAGATGTTTGGTATAGGGTACGTATGCTTGCCAGAGAGAAAGAAAAGACAGAGAATGAGAAAGTGAGAAATCCCCCCCCCCCCCGGGGGGGGGGGGGGGGCGGGATGGCCATGCCACAATCCCTTCTCCTCTATTCTCCTCTCAGGATTCTGGGCATGCATGTACACCAAGTTTTAAGCCACCAGGTCCGGGACTCAGATTATGTGGGAGTCCAGTGATGTTAACAATTACATAATCAGCTGGTCCTACTATCACATTCTTTTAAACATCTGCATACTACTCCTTTTTACAGATGTATTTAATTTAACTAGTCATATACTGATCGACATCTTTCTTTTTTCAGATCTTTAGGTAGCAAAACAATACCAAAAACATTCTGAACATGATTATTTTGCATTTTATATTTATGGACAAATTCCTATCTTATGTATGGCTGGGTAAATCATTTCCAAATTGCCTTCCAAAAAACTATACTAATTTATACTTCAGTAACACCAATATGTTTCTATGTCTATATAATCCTATTTGCAATCTTTGTCATCTTTGCCAATAAAATGGGGAAAAAAGACTCCTTCCCAAAACAAAATCCTCATTATTTTAACTCATACTCTGAAATTAGGGAGATGACCACCTTTCACTACATACAATGGCCACCTATATTTCTTTTTTTTTTTTTAATTTTTTTTATTTCTTCCATGAGCAAGGCATTAAAAAGAGACAGAGAGATTTAGACAGCACCCTAAGTTGGGTCTCAATGCCACAATCCACTCCCAACTTTAGCCACTCCCAGGTTATGGGCGTACTCGGCATACTGAGAAAGGTCTCCAGACATGAACCCAGGTCATGTCAGCCTTGTAGGTCAACCTTGCAGAGTGTCATGTTTGTTTTCTTTTTTTCTTTTTTGGCGAGAGTTTTGCCTTGGGGTGCATGCACTCACATGGGGAAGCGGGGGGCAGACACAGTGAGAGGGAAATTGAAAAATCATCCCCAGGGGAATGGCTACACTGCAATCCCTTCTCTTCCATTCTCCTCCTGGGCTCTTGGGCACACATACACTGGGCCTGATGTGATTTTCAAGCCATCAGGTCCAGGACTTGAACTGTGGTTGGCCATGTGGGAGTCCAGCAACATAAACAGTACGTCATCTGCTGTCCCCCTCTCCCCACAGAGTGCCAAGTTTGACCACTGCTCCATCATCTGGTCCCTCTTCTCTTTCTTGTCCATAACTCTGCTCATTTTTCTATTGGGTTTCATAATTTTCTAATTGACCATTAAACAGTTTTAAGTTTGTCTTTAGATTTTTCTTCTAAGTAATTTTTTTGGCTTGGTTTGATTTAATTTTGTTGGCCATAGAGATTTTAAGTTTTATAGAATCAAAGTATTAATCTTCTTCTGGATTTCATAACATACTTAGAAGAGCTTTTGCCCATGGTAAGATTATATTGAGTCGGAACCAGCAGTTAGCATAATGGCTATGTCGCTGGACTTCCACGTAGTCGACTGTGGTTTGTGTCCCGGACCCGGTGGCTTAAAACCCATGCCGGGTGCGTGTGCGTACGTGCCCAAGATCCCGAGAGGAGAAGGGATTGCGGCGTGACCATCCCCTCTGGGGGGTGTTTTCTCGCTTTCTGTCTCTCTGTCTCTCTCTGTCTGTCTGGCGAGCGCACGCGCCCCTATTGCAAAACCCCTCAAAAAAAAAAAAAAGATTATATTGAGTCATTGTGAAAGTCATGACACATTTCTGCATATGAAAACATAGAAAAATACATCATGACTTTCCTGATGACCTAATATATCTAACAATGCTTTCCTCCAGCACTTTCATGGTGTCATTTGTTTTTATTTTTATTATTATTTTTTTTTTTGGAGAGGTTTTTGCTATAGGGCGCATGCGCTTGACAGAGCGACAGAGAGATAGAAAATGAGAAATCGCCTCCCCCAGGGGGTATGGCCATGCCACAATCCCTTCTCCTCCATTCTCCTCTTGGCATCTTGGGCACGCACGCACACGTGCCAAGCGTGAGTTTAAGGCGCGGAGTCTGGGACTCGAACTGTGGTCAACTACATGGGAATCCAGCAACACAGTCATTATGCCAACTGCTGGTCCCTCATGGTGACTTTTTATTTAAAAAAAAGTGCTTGTCAGAGAAAGATAGAGAAAAAGGGAGAGAGAGAAAACACCCTCCGTGGGGAATGGTCATGCTATAATCCCTTCTCCTCCACTTCTCCACCCTGTCAGGGTTTGGGGCACACATGCACACATACCTAGCATGTGCTTCTCATGCCACCAGCTCTCAAACTCCAACTATGAAGTCGGCCATGTGGGATCCAACTGCTTTAATTAACAGGCCATGAAGCTAGCCTGATGTTACTTTTTTAACTTTTTTATTATTCTTTTTAGGTTTTTGCCATAGGGCACGTATACTGGCTGGAGAGAAACAGAGAAAGGGAAAGTGAGAAATGCCCCTCCTCCAAGGAAATAGCAATACTGCAATCTCTTCGCCTCCATTATCCTCCTGGGATTTGAGGCACACAAGTACCCAGTGTGATTTTCAAGCGCAGGGTCTGGGACTTGAACTGTAATCAACATGAAAATCCAATGCCTTAACCACTGTGGCACCTGCAGGCCCCCGCCCGATGTTATTTTTAAAATTTTGGCCCATTTGGAATTATTTCGATGAAGATGAGATCAATTCCCCCCTTAAATTACTAACAAGCTTCTCAATGCTGATGTGAAATACCACCTAACAAATACCTATCGCCATCTGGGTGTTACTCTAAATTTTATCACATTCTGTCTACCTGTAAATTCCTGCTCAGTTCCATAATAGCTGGTCCTGCTCAAGATGAAACCCCCCTATTAGCTTTAGTTTGTAGAAATTTCCCTGTCCAGGCTCACGTATTTAATCTTCCAGGTGAATTTTAAAAGCATTCTGTCCGTTGGAACCCCCCATGATCCCACCATTGTGTACAATTATTTTTTAACACTCCATCCCATCCATATGCAAGCCTATTTCCACATGGTATACACAATATTGTATTCTATTTTCTCCAGTTTCCTGGGAAAAAAAAAGTCCTGATGACCAACTCAACCACTGCCCTCATAGGTATCTCATAAATTTTGTTGCCATCATAGAGAGTAATGGAATTACATGCTGCCTTTGCCACTAGTTATTTTTGCCAAAGGACATATTCCTAGGAGCAGGATTCCTAGAAAAAAAGGGAGGAATTCCTTTTGGCATATTATGGCTCTTAAAGGAGAATATAATGAAAGCTACACTGGAAAGCTGTCTGGGAAGTCAACTGCTTATTGTATGTAGCTCAACCCCTGGTGACAACAACAGACTTGTGTTCCCTCAGTCAGAATTACCCAGAACTGGGGCCAGCAGATGGTATGGTGGTTAAGGCAGTGGACGCCCACAAGGTTGATGGCAATTCAAGTCCCTGTCTGTAAATTCTTGCTCAGTTCTGTAATAGCTGGCCCTGCTGAAGATGCAATCCTGCTTAGATGAAATCCTGGTAGCCTGAAACTAACATCCGGCATGTATGTGAGCACGTCCAAAATCTCTAAAGGAGAAGGGATTGTGGTGTGGCTCTCCTCCCTGAGTGGTGATTTCTCACCTTCCCTCTCTCTGTATCTGTCAGTCTTGCTACACCAAGTACACATGCCCTACAGCAAAAACTTTAAAAAATTAAAAAAGTTTACCCAGAACTGAGTTTCCCTGAGGATCAGAAGGGGCTTAGAAACAATAAAAATAACCAATATTTGGGTAATGCTGTCGAACCTTTCTCCCCCATCTTTGCAGTCAAATCAGTCTTTTCTTAGACAAGTGATGAAGAGGGCAAGGGTGGGTAGAATCAATGACAGAATAGAGTGCCTTTCCTCCCTACCCCCCGCGCTCCTTTTTAAAAATGTTACTATAGAGCATTTGTGCTCACTGGAGAGAGAGGAACAGAGAGAGAGAAAGAGAAAGCATCCCCCAGGGAGGCTGGACAAGCCGCAACCCCTTTTCCTCTTGGGATTTAGATCAGGCACCCACACGTTCTCGGCGTGTTTTTCCAGGTGTCAACCCTGACTCCAGTCCCACAGTCGGCCATGTGGGATCCTGGCACTTTAACCGCCGCTGCCCCGGCTCGCCCTCCCACTCCCTTTCGAAAAAACGTCAAGACGACTGAAAATCCGGGTAGCCCAGGGCCATGGAGAATGGAGCCCAGTCCGAGCTCCAGGGCGGGCCTGCACCTACGCCCCCATTTTACCCCCGGGTGGACCTCGGATTTTCCGTAAGCCCAGCCCAGAGGCCACGAGGACAGTGGCAGAGCTCTCTCCAGCTCGCCGGCCTCCCCGAAGCCTCCGCCAGCCCTTCGCCGCCGACCTTCTTACCTGAGGCCCAGTGACCACCATCCTCACCTGACGCCGCCCAGCATCCCGCGGCCAGGTATCCAAGGCCGCTTAGCAACAGCGGCGGCGCTCCGGCGCGACGGGGAGGCGTGGCCCCGGACGTGGCGCTACCTCCGGAGCGACGTGATGACGATAGCGGAAGGCGCCTGGTCGCCGCTGACGTCCAGGATTGGCGGGAGGTAGGGGCGGGGCTAGTGTTGGACTGTACCATTACTTTGCGTGAGGAGTAAACCCAGACACAGCAAAGTTTACCTTAGTGCCAAAATAAACCTATTTCACTTTGTTTTTAAATATCAGTCATCATTAAAGACGGATACTTCCAAGGGCCTGAACTTCGCTCCTCTCACGGGGAAGAAAATAGCGAAGCCTTCCGGCGCCCAGCGGCGAGCCTCGGGGCGCAGGCGCAGAGTAGCCGCTGCGACCTAGCGCGGATTTAGGTCTTTTCAGGAATTTATAAGCTGTGCTATAAGGACTTCTTGCCTACCACGACCTAAGAGGTTTGGGAGTCGAGGGAAGGCTTCCTGCAAGAGGTTGAGCTGGCGTGCTAGCGATAATGCAACCCAAGATGGTTCTTTCTCGTTTATTAACCCCGCATCTTCCAGCTCCACAGTACCAGGCCAGAGCTTCCGGGGAGTCGCAGTGACCCCGCCGCGTTCACACATCCGCAGAGGGGCAGTTAGATCCTGGCTGGATCCTACAACAGTGTAAAAACGTACACTACTGAGTAGGGACTTGTGAGGGGACCGAGCTGGTCAGAATTCTCTGCATTGAGCAGAGAACCGAAAGAATGGTTCTAAGGC